GAATTTCTTTGCTTTTGATTGCTTCTGAGAGAGCCATGGTGAACCATGATGGTCCATGAGTCCTTGAAGCGAAGGGCGCCGTGGTCTCTTCGAATTTATGTCTCTTGGAGAAAATCATGATATAGTTGGAGAAGAGAACTTTGAAGTCATCCTTATCATCGTTTGGGGTAAGTCTTCGCAGCCTAGTTCCTTCGATGATTCTATCCGCTATTTCCAGATCTTGTTCAGCAATAGTGTTAGCAGTTGATAGTGAAGGTTCAAACATGGCATTAAGCCATAACTGAAGTAACCAGAAGGGGCCAGCTAGTAGGATGTTTTTGGAGGTGTGGGATTTCAAACTCGAAACAGCTGATCTTAGACTTTCGTAAAGATCAACAAGTAATAGTTCGCTTAAACACACCCTCCGATTCTCATGTAAATCTCTAGCTAGAGGAATGAACCTGCTGGCTACCTGTAGGGACCTGCTGCAGAATACATACCTTGATAACCATAAGGTGAGGAAAGCAATGTGTTCCACATCCGACACACTATCTCCTTCAGTGTGGTAGTGGCTAATGAACTTTGAAAAGCTGGCTAATTTGACTTCGAAGTCAATAATGCTCGAATGCTCTTCATTGTCAGGAATATAGGTTTCCCCTACTGGTGACAAACCAGTAATGGCTGTTATGTCAAAAAAGGTGGGTGTAATCATTCCCCCAGGGAGATGGAAGGTATTGTAGGTACTGTCCCAGAAATATAAGGACGCAAATAATAATGGGTGGCTATAGGTAAAGCCTAGTTTCGATAATTTAATCAAGTTGTAAATGCCTAATTCCTCCCATTGCTGGGATTTCTTGGCTTCTACTTTAGTAAACCAGTTGTGGTAGGCTGTGTCAGAGGTGGGGCAGGATCGAAATGGTTTGAATTTACTCTTCACATAATCTAGCACAAAAGGGTCCTTTGGGGGAATGGTTGGAGTTTCCACGGTGGTCGAATCAGAAGACTCCCCTGTCTTGGGGGTATCCATTTTATTAAACAAAGGTTTAAAATTATAACAAACAGGAAAGATTTTTCTAGTGTCTTTTAAGATTTCAAAGACTGTAAGAGGACCCATTAAAGCTAACCTCTTGCCAGCGGCGTTAGTGGGAATTAGTACCTGAGATGCGTAGAGCATTTCCTTCTCTTTGGAGATCATCTGGGGAATAAGCACAGACTGACCTTGATAGGTGCCAACCTTGCTTTCCATTATGGTTCCTGTGTTCTTTCCTTTCTTTTTGGAAGCTTTTTTCAGTTGGGATGATGTTGAAGAAGACATTGTTGAAGAGTGTTGGAGGTTTTAGGGTTTCAGTGAGAAGAGAGGAAGAAAAGATTCAGAATGTGGGAAGAAAAAATAAAAGACTAAGTTGATGGGTTTTTATAGTGTGGAAGTTTAAACATCCACTGAGTAAGATTGGGATGCGTGGGAGTCGTGGGTTGGATTGAGAAGGAGGTGGCGTAAAGTTGATATTGGTAATAGGCGTGATTAAATAATAATCATTGTTTTGTAACTGCACCATGTTGTGAAGTACTAGTTCAAGACGGTTAAGGAATCTGAAAAGCGTCGTGATTGACGTGACTGGAGTCATATGCAATAAATGTTACGATTATTCAAAGGTCGCGTCAAAATCTTGCATATATGTTTAAAATAAGTATTTCTCAAAGGAATCGAAATACATATTTTAAAGGGGCATTTTGTTGGCTGAAGATTTTGATGATACTGATCGAAACGAAGCAAGTTGGGTGTTTCGTTGGAATAAAGCAAGATGCCATGTTTCGAAATGGTAGAAGCAGTGCTTCGAATGGGCATATCAAAGCTTGGAGCTTCGAGTGACAGTTATGAGGATATATTCAAAAGAAGTCTCGAAGTGGTAACAAGGCTGTGTCCAAGAAATGCGTTCGAAATGAAGAGTGCCAAAACATTTGAAATTCAAACGCAAGCGGGATGTTCGAAATTTAAAATATATGCGCTGGAGCATTCGAAGACGCGTGGAAGCTAGAGAAGGGCATTGCTTTGCATGTTCTGAACGTGGCAGAATCTTATAGGCAAGACCGTTATGGTCGAAGTAGTATAAATAGAAGTCTTAGCATTAGGATTTCGTGTGTCATATCTATTGTACAAAAATTCAGTAAACATTCAAAATACCACATGGCTAGGGAAACGAATGCTCGAACAATGTACGTATGATAACACCAAGTGTTTATGATTCAATAAAACTCTTTATCATTTCCAGTTTTTTTTCATCTATATTCATGTCAATATCATTCAAAAGCCTTTACATTAAAGTATTTTCATTCGAAGTCTTTTTACTGATGTCTTGCATTTAAATGTTTTCTTTCCATTTCAAATCCTTTACATTTCAGAAACTTTTGTATATTTCATGCCTTTATCTTCATGCTTTTATCATTCGAATACCTTTTCGTTTAAAGTCATTTTACTGATTTCTTGCATTTAAATGCTTTCTTTATATTTCGAATCTTTTACATTCCAGAGAATCTTTTACATCACATGCTTTTATACTTCGAAGTTATTTACTTGTCTTTTTGCAGTTTACATGTCTTTACAATTGAACCTTTATTCATACAATTTAGTTTCGCGCGTATTTACTTGATCATGTCATTAGATCTTTAATAGATTAATCGAAGTAAGTTAAACACCTACACAACATTCTAAATACCAACCATGAATATCAGTTCTATAATGAGAATTATCCAAATGACCAATACACCATAGGATCAATCTAGTCGATCCTGCAAGTTACCAGAGAGATTAAATAACAGTCATTAAGATTATTTGATAGTTTGGAGGACTAGCGGTTGTTTACCAGAAATAACTGTAAACAGGTGGCTCTGGAATTTTTTAAACCAAAGGGCATAACAACCCACTCATACGTTCCAAGAACTCCTGGGCATCGAAACACCATTTTCACTACAAGAAAATTAGTGTTTAACGACACAAAAATTGCGACAGTTATGTGATAACTGTCGTAATTGACATATAAAGACAATGTTTACGACAGTTGACACCAACCGTCCCTAATATTTATTTTGCGACGGTATATTTAACCATCATAATATTATTATTACGACGGTAAAACAACCGTCGACCCCCATTTAACACTTTTAACATTGATTTTTCACCAACAACTAGTCACGACGGTAAAATTAACCGTCCTAAAAGGCATATCACGACGGTAAAGCACCCGTCGCACCCTCAAACCTTTCACGACGGTAAAATTATCCGTCCTAAAATTCATTTCACGACGGTAAAACAACCGTCGCACCCAAAACCTTTAAAAATCTCTTGCTAACTTATATATTTTATCTAATTATAATTGTTATGTATATTTAAGTTCTCTCATGTTAAGGTTAAGTTTATGCATTATTGATCGATCTCGTTAACCTTCCTCCCACTCTCAGAGACTTCGTCGGTCAATCTCAGACTTCTCGATTAACCTGTTTCATGCGTGTTTGGTCCTACGTCAAAACCAACAATCTTCAGGTTCTGCTTTGTTTTTTCAACTCATGAAAATTGAACCACATTCTAATGTCCTCCTGCATCACTATTCTTCGAACATCTCTCATCTTCCAACCGATAAGTTTTCTATAACACTTTTTCTTTGTTCTCATCTTCACATATCTCTCTCATTCTTTAACATTGATTTCACCATTGGAGATTCACATGAATCTTAGGGTTGAGCTCTTTGTGATTCAAACATCACAACAAGCATTCATATCGACATTAAACCCAATCACCAACAATAAACCCTAAAACCCCAATTTATTCACGATTCAATGAGCAATACAAGTTATAGCATTCATAATCACAAGGGGAAAGGGTATCGAGTAATAACACAAAGAAAATAGACAGAAGGGAATAACGATTTAAAACCCTACAACATACAACATCTTCAACATTTGTTGTATTCTTTCCCTCTGCACAATCGGTATTGTATTTATTTCGACTTATTTTAGGGTTTGTTATGTGAAACTTAAGTTCTATGTCTAAAACAATTTGTAACTTTTATTCTTCTTTTCTAATCCAAAGTCTAAACTGAGTTTTTGCAGGAAAATATGGATATTCTTATTGTGAAAGCACAGAAGATTGAGGTAGTTGAACTTAATTGTTGTTGAACTTGTTTCTGCTACTTTAAATCAACCCACTTTTTTATCTGCTCAAGGAATAAGTTTTGTAATCTTATTTTGAAATCTCTGGATGTCAGGTTTTGGATGAAGCGTACTGAAAAAAGCAAAAAAAATTGTAAACTTTTGTTTGACTTCTTCCTAATCTCTTGCAGGGGATAACTATTTCATATATTATTGAAAAAGAGTGGTTTTGAACAGGTTATATGCTTAGTTGCTTATATAAATTTGGTCATTGAACCTTGTATGTTTTTGGATAATTGGATATTGTCATTAGTTTACAACCATATTTTTGATTTTTGATTTTTGATTTTTGTCAAGAGTGACCCTTCATAATACTGAATCTGAAAGTAAGTGATGGAAAGAGAGAGAAAGAGAGAGAGATTCTCAACTACTAGGCTGTGTTTGGCTATTTCTATCTTGCAGTGAAAGCTGTGAGATTGGGATTGATGGATTTGTGATAGAGTTTAGTGGCTAGAGCTCTGATTTGCCAAAATTGAGTTAGTTACCTTCATAATCAGTTTTAGCTCTTTTAGTGCTTTGAAATTGGAGTTTCTTACCAAGTCCATATATGGTTGACCAAACAGAACCTAAGATTTTTTTTTGTTATTTTATTCTTTATACTCTGTCAATCTTGCAAGATAAGTTAATATAGATTTTTTTTCTATTACTTGTTTATATGTTTATAAGAAGCTACATGAATAATTTTCATTAAATTTTTCTGTTTGTGAATAAGCGATATCAATTGGAGCAAAGAAAAAAAATTTATATGCTTTGAGTTTCTGCTGATCTACTTTTTTTTACCGTGTAGTATATTGGAGACAGCTAGAAAGAGAACTATAATGGCTAGCGCTGGGCATGGAAATGGACTCATAAATGGTGTAGTATCGAATAAGCACACTGCTACAATATCTGAAGTAGATGAATTCTGCAATGCCCTTGGGGGAAATAGGCCGATTCATAGTATATTGATTGCGAACAATGGAATGGCGACTGTCAAGTTTATACGCAGTGTTAGGAGTTGGGCTTACGAGACGTTTGGCACGGAAAAGGCTATCTTGTTGGTTGCCATGGCTACTCCAGAAGACATGAGAATCAATGCAGAACATATCAGAATAGCTGATCAGTTTGTGGAAGTACCTGGTGGGACCAATAACAATAACTACGCCAATGTGCAGCTTATTCTAGAGGTATGTGATGTCGACTTCATGAGATTACTGCAGCTTATTTATTCTTGTCATTTAAATGATTTCAGTGCTTATGTAATTGTGATTATTTTGATCGGCATAACTTGTTAATTTTGCTGACGGCAATGCAATGTGTTTTCCAGATTGCCGAGATAACTCATGTTGATGCGGTATGGCCTGGTTGGGGTCATGCATCAGAGAATCCTGAGCTACCAGATGCATTAAAAGCAAAAGGAATTGTATTTCTTGGGCCTCCTGCAGTATCTATGGGGGCATTGGGAGATAAAATTGGTTCATCGTTGATCGCTCAAGCAGCCAATGTGCCAACCCTTCCATGGAGTGGTTCACATGTAAAGTTTTTCTCCCATTGTAGTGTACTTCATTTGTATGGGTTGCCCGACTTATGACTTTGTAATTTTTCCACAGGTGAAAATTCCTCCTGAAAGCTCCTTGATTACTATTCCTGATGAAATCTACCGAGCAGCATGTGTTTATACAACAGAATAAGCAATTGCAAGTTGTCAAGTTGTTGGATACCCTGCAATGATCAAGGCATCTTGGGGTGGTGGTGGTAAAGGCATAAGAAAGGTTTGCTTCCTTATGGTCAACTCTGTAACATGTAGAAAATTGTATAGTATCTACCTATGAAGCACTGACACAAACATACGACATTGACACTGACATGTTGACACCGGTAATAATTTGAGAACATGAAAGTGATCGGAAATCGGGCACACGTTAAATCTGAAGCATCGGTGCTTACATAGATCAATGCTGATAATCTTGTGCCAATCATATTTTTGTGTTTTGTTTGGTAAAAGTTAAGAAACTAACATGCATGTGGATATTTTAGGTTCATAATGATGATGAGGTAAGGGCATTGTTCAAGCAAGTTCAAGGTGAAGTTCCGGGATCACCTATATTTATAATGAAAGTTGCTTCCCAGGTTAGATAAACCAATGAACTTTGATCTGAGTGAGCTTGATTTTTGGAGTTTTGATCATACGCTGACGATCTCTCTTGCTTCTAAATAGAGCCGGCATCTTGAAGTCCAACTGATTTGTGATCAGTACGGAAATGTTGCAGCTTTACACAGCCGTGATTGCAGTGTTCAACGAAGGCATCAAAAGGTATGAAAATTTGCTGTTACTAGTTACTACACCAAATTGTCACGATGGAATGAATCTCGGTAATGACATAATCAATCATCTGGAACAGATTATTGAGGAGGGTCCGATTACTGTAGCACCCCCAGAAATGGTGAAAGAACTTGAACAAGCGGCTAGAAGATTAGCTATATCTGTAAATTATGTTGGGGCAGCTAGAGTTGAGTATCTTTATAGCATGGAAACTGGCGAGTACTACTTTTTAGAGCTGAACCCCCGTCTATAAGTGTTGTACTATAACCTTGATTTTAGGCACACCATAATTAATTTGTTTTTCTCTTATGGCTTGATTGCTTCTCCTTCTGACCTTGACATAGGAACTTTATCTTAGTATTTTGTTGCCATGTTTCTAATATTTCCTGATGTTGTTTTGCATTTATTGATATATAGGTTGAGCATCCTGTTACTGAATGGATAGCTGAGATAAATCTGCCAGCAGCACAAGTTGCCGTTGGGATGGGTATCCCTCTCTGGCAAATTCCCGGTATAGCTTCAGATATAATATTTTTACTATTATTGCTTTCGCACATATATTTCACGAGTCTCACACTCATACTTAACAGAGATTAGGCGTTTCTATGGGATGGAACATGGTGGAGGGAATGATGCTTGGAGGAAAACATCAGTTTTAGCTACCCCTTTTGATTTTGACAAAGCACAGTCTACAAAGCCAAAGGGTCATTGTGTGGCTGTGCGAGTGACTAGTGAGGACCCCGATGATGGTTTTAAGCCTACAGGCGGGAAAGTGCAGGTTAACTGCTATATCCAACAGAAATTTCATCTTTAATTCATTCATCGCATAATATATACTGAATTAAAATATTTTTACAGGAGCTCAGCTTTAAAAGCAAACCAAATGTTTGGGCTTACTTATCTGTTAAGGTAAATCTTCTATCTCTTTGTTAGTACTTTTAATTTGATTGGCGAGGCACTAAATTTTGGCAATTATATGTTTGCAGTCTGGAGGAGGAATCCATGAATTTTCAGATTCTCAATTTGGTATGCAGTAACTTTGATCGAGAAATTGCAGATTCTAGGCTATCATGTTGATATTTTAATGTATAGATATATATTTTTTCAGCAGCTAATATCATAAGTTTTAACACAGGACATGTTTTTGCCTTTGGAGAATCGAGGGCTTTAGCAATTGCAAATATGGTTTTGGGGCTGAAGGAAATTCAAATTCGAGGAGAAATTCGTACTAACGTTGATTATACAATTGATCTTCTGAATGTAAATTTTTATCATGATGACAAGGTAATGAAGTTTTGTAAAACAGGTTGATGTAAATGGACCATTTACTGCTCCAGTATACCAGTTTCTGAAATCAAGTTCCGGGGGCTTTTTTGGTGATCTTGTCAAGTGGAATCTTAATTAAAATAGGAGAGAATCTTAATTTAGCAACTCGGTATGCTATGATATTACTGTATTTGTGATTTCAATAAGACATGTATATTATTTTGACGCATTTAAAGTTAAATTTTATGAGTATTATTTTAAAGATTATTATTTTAATACCTTTTTTTAGGGATTGGAATCACCCGCTGATGGTAGACGTTCATCTGAGTCTAGCTACCGTATTGGAGATAATGGAACTTCAGGGGGGACAAATTAGACTTTGCTATGATCGAGATAATTAGATTGTGAACTTTCTCATGTATTTTTGGCATAATGATACTTATTATTATAAGATTAGGAATTGATATATTTTGGGTTTTTTGTACTACTTGACATGATTATGGAACTCGCATTTTACATGATTATGGAACACACATTTTTTTGGATATTATAATGCTTATTTGATGTTAAATATTTTTTATTGAAATTATTTTTACTATATTACAAAGTGATAGAAAATAAAACAAAAAATAATACTATAAATAAATATATTAAAGAAGAAATAATTTAAAGAAAAAAATAACACAAAAAAAAACTATATTTAAAATTTTTTACATAGATAATAATTTAAATAAAAAATATATATAATAGAAAAATAAAAAAAAATCAAGACATAAACAAAAGTCATGGCGACAGTACCGAACCGTCGTAATCAACAATTAAAAATAATCAACAAAAGTCATGACGGTATCGAACCGTCGCCATAAACAATTTAATCAATTTCAAAAGATATTCACGACAGTATCGAACCGTCGCCATCAATAATTATAAGAAACTCAAAAGATAGTCACGACGGTATCAACCCGTCGTAAACTTGAACGACAGTTTTTGTAACCGTCGCGAAATAGGTTGGGGACACACACTTCTGCGACGGTAAAGCAACCGTCGTGGAAAGCAAATTGCGACGGTTTTAACCGTCGTAATCTACAAAAATACCTGTCGCAATCTGCCAATTTTCTTGTAGTGTTTAGATACATCTTCTTCTACTATGAAGATCTGGTTATATCCAGAATATCCATCTAGCATACTTAAATATACAAAACATGCAGTTGAATCAACTAACATTTCTGCCATTGACATCGAATACCCATCCTTAGGAGTTGCATTATTTAAATCTCTAAAATATATACAGTCTCAAAGACTCCCATTTTTCTTTATTATTGGTACAATATTAGCTAACCATTTTTGATAAACCTTGTACCTCTAATGAACTGGTTTTTAAGCAACCTTTCGATTTTCTGCTTAATTTTTGACATGATTTATGGAGAGAACCTTCTAGGATGTTGCTTTATCGACCTTTTACATGGTTGAATGGGAAATTGATGTTCTACCACATGTTGACTTAAACCACACATCTCGCCGTAATCCCAGGAGAATTAGTCTTTATATTCTTTCAACAATTTAACCAACATGACCCTCATATTTGGTTCGACCTTTGCACTAATTAAGTAGGTCATTTGGTGTCACCATCTCCCAAAACTACCTCCTCAAGTGGATCTTGGGCCTGCATTCATTTCACTAAATTTGACAAGTCTTTTTCAAACCCCAAAGGTTTGTTATCATAGATACAATTTAACCTTCGACTTTCTGAAGCTGTTGTTTGGCCAAATTGACCATCTTTAAGATCATCGATCATGGCTTCGACAACCAAATTTTTCAATTGCTCATCCTCTAAAGCCGCTTTTAATTTATTTTCAGCCATATAGGCCGAAATTCGAGCCAAAATTTCTGACTCAATGGTCATCTTTGTCGACCACAGTCCACCCCGTAGGTGGGTTTACCTCTTCAGGATTAGTTGTAGCCTTTGTATCCCAGAGGAATCCATAGTTGGTATCTAAATTTATAAAATGTGTTGCATTTTTATTAGGGGTATAAACTTCTCCAACTTCATAACAAGGTGTCACATTTGCAAAATACTGGTCAAAATGTTTTCTTCCCACCTTATTTACATCAACCTTGTAGTAACTTTGATCGGCTTAAATATTTTCTGTGATGCCATCTTTTTGCTAGATTGAGATCCGCTAATGCAAGGTTAAAGGAATTGCACCAATTCCATGAATCAATTCACGACCCAAAAGAAAATTGTAATTCTACTTCGAGTTTATAACCATGAATAATGTCGATCTCGTGGTTGTTCCCACAGATAATTTTGCCTGGATGACTCCTAGTATGTTGCTGGTTTTCCCTTCATAATTTGACAAAACTATATTATGTGGTTGAAGACCAGCACCACATTTTCCATCTTCTTGAATAAAGTATGAGGCATCAAATTTACAGTTGCGCCTCCCTCGACAAATACCTTATTCGCCGATATTCTGTCCACTTTTGCCCTTATAAACAACAGCTTTAGGGTGTACATCATCCCTAGGTTAGGCTTCTCAAAAATAGCCTTATGTTCTTCAACTAACCCATTGTTCATGACGTAGTAGCACAATGGTTTCTCAGTAGATGCTTCGTCTCGCAAGAAGTCTTTGTAAGTTGACACCCGATCATATTCCGCTGGTAACACCGATACAATACCACGGTCAATCATTAAATCTTTATAGAACCCAACTTCGGAATTGTCTCCAACCATTTCATATCCAGGTAAAGAGTCATACTCAGGATTCTCCACCTCAAGCAAAGGAGTATTTTCTGGATTTCTAGTCGAGATAGAGCCATTTTTTCCTAAAGATGCTACCCTCATGAAGAACTTCTCATTTTCTACTTCTATTTCATTTTTCACTCAGCTTTCCCTTTGGGTAATATTTTTCTGAGTAATAACTTCAGCAACTCTCTGTTATGATGTTGAGGCCTCTCTTTTAGCCTTTTTATTCCTTTGGTGACGCCTTCACTACGTCTTAGTCATGGGATTCTTTCCATTGTAATTAGGGATACAAAATAACCCTTTTGTAAAGTCAAGCTTCTTCAACATCATGTTTTGAAGAAGACAACTATTATGTG